TTCAAAACGGTGCGGCGGTGTCGTGTCGCTGTCGTGTCTGTGGCATGGTGTTTCTATGCGCGCTGTTGCTTGTTGGTGGCCCGCTGAGTAGGTGTTGCATTGTTGGCGATTATCTTTAGTTTTGTTTTTGCCGTTTGCGCTTTGTCGTGTCCGAAACCACAGGAACTGGGCTAGCACGAATGTTATATTGAATTTGCGGCACTTAATCAGGCGGCACTCGCATAAATATTGTTGATATGCATGTATGCATGTATGTATGTGTATGTGTGTGTGTAGTTGTAGCTAAATGAATTGATAATTTAGTTGCATTGTCAAAGCTGCTGCTAGCGACAACTAAAGTGCTGTTTGTGTAGCAACGTCGGTGGGGCCTTTGCACAGTTGTGGGTGTGTTTGCAGCGCTGAAATATGCTGGCGCGTTAATCTAGTGCGAAATGACTATTTAATGCAAGTCGATTCGTGTCGCTGCATTTTGATGGCTTGCCTGGTACTACGCTCACTTTTGGTATTTATATTTCTATTGTTGTTTTTGTTGCTGTTTTTTCAGCTTGCATTCCAATGTGAAATAAAATGATTCTCATGTTCGTTTGCACGCCTAAGTGCAACTATTTTTACACCTGTGCAAATATGCGATTTTGTTACATTAAATGCGTGTGTGGATGCACTCAGCCGCGCATATGTAGTTACAGTTGTAGCTGTGTTGCTGTGTGTGTGTTTGCAAATATACTTAACCCGTTGCAATGTAGTTTTGCATGTGTTAAGCTTGTTGTTAAATTTTCAAGTAAATGTTTACACGAGTTATAGTTTTTATTTCCTCGCGTTTTGGTTGGTGTTGTTTGCTGTAATTACTGTTATTTGACAAACACATTCGCAACAGCTACCAAAAATTGAAAACATAAATTATTTTTAAAGCATATACGCAATTTGAATTTTTCGGCAGCTAAGTTGCAGTTCTTTCAGTTAGTTCCTTAAAGATTACAGATTTAAAAATTGCATAAAACACACGCTTGTAAAAATTCAGTTATTACACTCAGCTGGTAGCACAGTGAACGAAGAAAACATATTTAATAAAAATTATAATTTTAAAATGCGTCAAACCAACCAAATAAAAGGATATTTCAAATAAATATAAAAAAAAAAATAGATAAAAAAG